GGGGGGGGGGGGGTCGCTTAGACAGGCAGATTCCTTAGTTGTGATATATCGGCAACTTCGATGACTTGCCTGCACAACAAAGCCAGCTGCTTAGAACAGTCGAGAAAATGCGCCGGATGACACATGCATCGTTTCGTTGACAACACAGGATGCCATACACCTCACCTAACCACGTTCTTAAAAGTATCTGAAAAGGGGTTACGCACCCCAAATGCATGGTGTCGTCGCGGGCGCTCATGGCTTGCCTCAAAACGTGCAAGAACCCGTAGTATGGATTGTATTGCACGCCATGATGTCACAAGAACAATGGGGTGTGGGGACATCTTGTCTGTCCGCAGCGCAGCCGTTGCTCCCCTTGGGAACATGGGTTTCTTAGCAAACTTTGTGTTTCCGTAAAAAAAGATGAGTTGAAACACCCAACCGCTCGAACTCAAGTCTGTGCGCGGTCGGTCCAAGCGCCTTTCTCTCTGAGGAAAAACGTCTCACCACTGCCACAAAGCCGTCAACACCACCAGCTAACCCTAACCAACAACAATCAACCCTAACCAACAACAACACGACACACGCACATGCGACGCTCTTGCTGCCGAGCTTTCCTTCTTCGAGCAGTTGAGCCACCTCGCGTTCCAGGAGCGCCAGGCTCCACTTCCCGGGAATGGCTTCCACGTTCAGCCACTCGGCGCAGTCGTCCACGCCGCCGCGCAAGGCGACGCCGTACTTGAGGGCGTGGGCCCTGAAGAAGTGCATGAGGGTCTGGTTGGGTATCTGTCGCACGCGCGCAGGGTAGCAATACAAACAAACAAGCGGGAGCGTATGCGGATCAGATTGCGTCTCTCTTGCCGCGAGGATAAGAGAAAAGGGCGTTTTGGTTGCGTGGGTGGGTCACAACGCGCATGTTTATGTAGCATGAACGCGACAGCGAGGGAGCCGGGGGGGGCTGCTGTCGAGTATGATTGAGGTTGTTGGCGCAACTCAGAAGCCAGGGGGGCATCGCGATACCGCAGGAGCGTACGAGCCCGCGTTTGCTCCGCGCACAAAAATGCGAGGGGATTCCGGATAGAAAGTTGGCTCCCTACTGCCACGCCGTGGAGGATTCGTGGGTAGCCCGAACCTAGCGATTTAGGGAGGAGGCAGTTGGGGCTTGATGTTGTGTCGTGTTCATTGGCTTTTCCACGCCGGAGCGTATGCATACGGTAGGAAGAAAGCCTGGGTGACATTCTGCCCTAAGAAACCAAGTAGGGTCAACAGCGGGTGGTACGACGGCAGTGCGTACAAAGCTACAGCAGGAACGCGGCAACAATCCTACGGCGGCACCACCGCTCAGCAAAAGACGTACTCTTTGATGTGGTTTCGGGACTGCTAAACATAGAGACATAAGAGGTACTTATGCCAGTTTGCTGTTCCGTTTCGTTTGGAGTCGTGCTTGAAAGTAGGGCAGAGGACGGAAACGCTTGACACCACACAGTAGCGCTCGGCAACAACTTCGTTGGGAGCAAACTTGCGGCTCTGCGAGTACAATGAAAGACGATCTGTACAGGGCAGCAGTAAGGTAGTCTCGGCACGCCGACGATTTAACTCGTGGTATGCTACAGCAGCACATCCTCGGGCACCATGGTCGGCGTGGTGGCAGCAACGACGCCGACTGGCATGCTACAAGTAGACTAACCGCTGGTGTTGTAGCAGCACATGTAGCCGTTGCGCGGCCCACCCAACCCACCTTGTCAGAGGCCACTCCGAGGTCGGCCCAGAACTTCACCACCTCTTTCCTAAGGTTCTCATCATTGGACCAGTAGGCCGGCGGCCTTCGCCTCTTCTTCTTCACGCCGCCCCCATCCTTCTCCTTAGCTTCCGCGGCAGAGGTCTCAGCGGCGCCCTGCTCCTCCTCCTGTCGCCGCCTGCTATGCCGCTGGAACGAGTCCTCTCTATGGCGAAACGCGCGCGTGGTCGACTCGCCGCCCTCTTGCTGTTCCTCTAAGCGAACCTCCTCCTCATCAGCCACAGCAGTGGCTTCCCCAGAGCCTGAACCGCACAGGTACCACTCTGGCCTGCTGCCGTCAGGCGCTACCACCGCCCAGCGTGGTGCACCTGCAACCGTCCTCCCTCCCGTGTTGCCATAACTCGCCGACCGTCGTTGCCGTACTCTCGCTCTTCTTCGACCGCCTCCAACCCCTAATACTGCTGCTGGTAACTCGGAGCCTGGAGAGGAGTGAGGCTCGCCTCGACTCACGTGGCACGCGTGATGCTGGCGCTGGCGCTGTGGTCGAAGGCGGTTGCTGCCGCTGCTGCGAGGCCCGCCGCTGATGTTGTGTGGGCATCGATCATGATGATGATGCCGCGGGACTGCTGCTGGAGGCGTGGTGAATGCGACAGCCAGCGCTGCCGACAGCGCACCGACGGCTGCCACGGCCAGCGAAGAGTCGATCGGGCGTCTCCTTGGCCTAGCAACGCGCTTTCCAACAGAGGGCATCGTCTTCTCTGTGCTTCTGGAACAGGTTCGGCGGGGGAAGGGTCATGGCATGCGTCAAGCCTTGTAATCTCGCCGCATGTGCCTTGAACTGACGACGCCACAGTTTTTTGTGCATCGGAAGCCCTAAAGCCTGTCAGTGCAGCAGGTTCTCCTCCCAACCTCCTCACTGTTTTCAATCATCCCTTCGACTGTGGTTTTATCCCGAACGGGTGGTCTTTCAGTGATTGCGTTGTGGAATTTGAGGATACCCAGCAGAGGATCAACGTGTAAAGTGCATATATCAAGGTCAACGTCGTAGTAAGCAAATCAATCGTCGGCCTGCCGACCTTTCGTTTTCAAGTCATGATCAGTTGAGCTACACCATCCTCTGCATGTGCGTAGTCTAACGGCCGTAGAAATAGTAGGCGGACAACGCAGGTTTGGTGGATGTGCTGGAGTGCTGCAGCCGCGATGCCAGGAACATATAGAGTGGCTATCCATGCAGACGATGTGGACGAAACATCGTACATGTAGCTCGGCGATACTTGAAGGAGTCCATACACGAGAGGAACAGCACAACGGGGGGGATCTCAACATTCGATTTTAGAGACCCTCTTCCACACCCCGAGGCATTTCGATAAAGTCAGCACGAACGGCGGCACAAGGATGGACAGGAAGCACAGAACATCCACCGCGCCTGAGGTGCGGTGTAATGTCATGCACCGACTGTGCCGTTAGCCACCGTTGTGCCCAGGGCGTAAGGCGTCAAAATCTCCCCCAAGCCCTTGAAGATCAGGTTTAACAACATTAACTGCTTCGTTTCCTCACGGATGGCTTACGTGTTGAGGATGCCACCACCCACACGATCCACGCCACGCGATCCCCTGAGCGGTGCAGCGTTAACACAAACCTCGTCTTGCAACACAAAAACACTGCTCAAAAGAACACACCGGATGATGGCAGGACAGCCTGCCAGATCTCCGACCCCCAACATGCAATATTTTTCTGATATTTTTCCAACAAGAACAACCGGCACGCTTCGAGCATGCATGTCCACGGAAAAGATCTTCTCTCGCGCTCTGCCCTCTCTCGCCCGCTCAGCAAGAACATACAGCGAAATCGCGCTCCTTCCCCCCCTCCCCCTTTCTTTGAAACTTCCGTCCTGCATTCGCTGCGTCAGAGGCCTCCAAGCGGCCATCTACCCGCAGCCAAACCAAGAGCGCCCTAATTTCAGGCCCGTTTCACGAGAGCCATGGTCCCCAGCACCGACCGCATCGGGTGCACCACAACTCTGGAGACCCTGCCCCCCGAAAAGCAGCCTCAAAAGGGCGGCGGAATAGACTTGAAACAACCGATCGTACCCACCCGCGCCCCCCCCCCCCTGTTCCTCATTAAGACATTGCGGAGCAGGTTGCGCCGCATAATCTTCCGCTCTCCTGTTTCCATGCGCTCTGAACGCCCGCCATGCTTGTGTTAGCGGTAGGGGTGGTCAGCAGCCAGGTTCTGCGCGATAGCCACCTCCCACCGGTCGCCGTTGGCCAAGAGCTTTTCCTTGTCGTAAAGCAGTTCCTCGTGGGTTTCGGTGGCGAACTCGTAGTTGGGGCCCTCTACGATTGCGTCGACGGGGCACGCTTCCTGCTCTCGTCGAACGCACAAGAATGGCGAAAGGGCAAGCGTTGGGTTTGGAGTGGTATGGGATGCAGTATTAATATAGTGATGTCACCAAAAGCGAAAAAGTACCTACAGCATACCAGCGAGACCCCCGAGCCCAAGAATTTGCGCGTTCGCTCGACAACAACCACTCAACGCAGGAAATCGAAGGTGGCGTTCGCAATCCACCCAGGCTGCCGACGCACGCTCAAGGCGAAATAGCCGCTGCAAAAGTGCGATTTGCGCGTGGAAGGGCCACGTCAGAGAACAAAGAAAATGAGAGAGGTGCAATCTGCGGGGCTTTAGCTCGCCTGGCAGAAGCCGCAGTAGATGCACTTGGTCATGTCGATGTCGTAGCGCGTGGTCTTACGGCTACCGTCCTCTCGCTGCTCCGCCTCGATCGTGATCGCCTTCAAGGAATGGATTTCGCAGCACGCATGATGGGCACGGACGGCACCCGGTTGAGAACATGATAAACAGTAACGCTCGCAAACAGAAAAAATGCACCGCCTGCTCCCTGCTCACAACCAACGCAGGAGCAAGCCAAAAAACAGCACCCCCCACCCACCTGAGAGCCTGGTCCGGTGAGAACCCGGCGTGCTCCGTCCCGGCTTTGTAGGGATGCGAGGTCAATGGTCTAACGACTACGGCATGCACGACTATGAGTACACCCCCCCCCCACCCACCCACCTGATGCTCCGTCCTCTCGAGTACGCGTGGTCAATGGTCTAACCGCAACAAAGGTTTGCAAAACATGAGAGTACACCCCCTACCTGAGCGGGGCAGATGGCTTCGCACAGCTTGCACGAAATGCAGCGCTCCTCCCCGCTGGGGTAGCGTCTCAGGGCGTGTTCCCCGCGGAAGCGAGGGCTTAGCGGACCCTTCTCGAAGGGGTAGTTGATGGTCACCTTAGGCTTGAAGAACACCTGTTGGTTGCGAAAGAACACGCGTCGACGACAACATCGGGTTCACAACGAAAAGCCTGTTGGGAAAGAGGAGAGCACTACAAAACATGGGTGCACAACCGCGCGGTTGGCGGCCAGGTGTTGGGGTTGACGAACCCGTCGCACATGTCGTCGAAAAAACGATTGGTGGGTCACCCTCATCGTGCTTCATTGGAAACGTGCGGACAAGACAACACCCAGGGTGGACACGGTTAGAGGTGTCAAAGCAGCAAATTTCCCATAAATTTAGGAAAAAAATTGAAAAAGTGGTTGGCGAACCCGTTACAAATGTCGTTGAAAAACCGATTGGTGGGTCACCCCCATCGTGCTTCATTGGAAATGTGCGGACAATTAAGACAACACCCAGGGTTGTTACTGGCACGTACCCCCGCCCCTTCCTTTGGCCGTCGACCTGCCTCCATGTAGTGGGAGGCTACCCCCCCAGGCTGGTGGTGCGGCCGTTCCACTAGTCTAATTATTTATTTTATTTTATTTTATTTGTTTCTGATTATATTTTGTTTTCTTGTATTTTATCGCTCTGCTGACCCTTGGGGTCCATTTTATTTTGGTATACCTTTTCTAGGTACGTTAGCCTGTGACCACGGAAATTGGCCGAGTCAAGTGATGGATTAGTACGGAGAGATTGAGACAGAAGGAGGTACTGGATAGAGAGACCGGGATGGTTTTTAATGTGAAGACAACAACAACAACAACAACAGGGTGGACACAGCAGTGCATGCGAAAAGAGGCGTCGGCAGCGCACGCTCCCGTCGGGTGTGGGTAAGTTAGGATACGAGTACTTGGTTCCAATGGGCTTGAGGCATTGCCGGTACCGCAAACACATGCGCAACTCTGGTGTGATTCACACTGTTCAGTCAAAGCCAATCTGATTGGGCTATTAATAGTGGTGTGCGTTGATACTATACACTGCTGTTTCGCTCTATTTCAGACATTTCTCACGCAAAGGCGGCGTATTTACGGTTTTCAATCAGCATTTCTGTAGGGGACACAACCACGGGCATCGTCAAGACGAGAACGCTGTACCTCACAGCCAAAACACAAAATGAAGCACACGCCAACTGAGCAATACACTTCGCACGGTGCCCACAGTCAGTCTGCATCAGCGGGCGGGGCGAGGCCTGTAGGGTACAGCGTCTGATGTACGTGGGACTTGCGAGCTCAAAGGAGAGTGCATGATGATGATACTTTTGACCATGACGGGAACACACGCACCTCGGCGCTGAGCCACAACGCGCGGAAGATCTCCGCCATGAACATGATGTTCGCGAGCCTGTCTATTGTCGTCAGCAGCCCATTCTCCTTGAACTCGATGTTGTCCACCGGCAACTTCGCTTCCCGGAACTCAGACCTCTCCTTGGTCTTCATTGAGGGGGGGTTAGGTGGCATGTTGCTCAACAACCGCCGGGGCAACACCGCGACCGCGTTGCTCGTGCGAGCGGCGCCGCTGGCGACCAGCACCGCCCGGCGGGCCAGGAGAGACCCTCTTCCCCGTATCGTAGCGAGCACCATGACACAAGATTGTGTGTGACAGCCGAATTGCGCAGCCGGCGCACTCGCTGGAATCGCGGACAAGAGGGTTTCCAGTGATGCGCTTCATCATAGGTAGGGAAGAGGGGACGAAATGCTCACCGCCCCATGGCTTGTCCCGCCGCGTTTTCAGGTTCAACTTTGTGCATCTTCAGTGCACCCTCCCGTGGTACAGGGAGATGGTGGCAGAGGTTGGAGTGGCGAATAGCAAAGAGGGTGCTGTTATTCAGAGGTTTCATACCTTCGTGGTTGAGATCGATCGCCAGGGCGCGTCAGGTACAGTAGCGGAAAAAGTGCTTCTTGGAAAATATGTCCTCGGTGGACGCTCTGCTCTCGGCGTGTCTCGACAATGCCTGTACCGGAAGAGCGCGCACGGGCAATAGCAGCTAGAGCCAACCTAATGATTGCGCTTGAAGGAAACGTAACGAAATTTCCCGTTCCGGTTACTCCGGCTGGGAGCGGCTCCAATTTCTGGTACACCAGGTCGGAGTGCAAAGTCGAATGGGTTGTGGACAGCTCTAGCAAAGACCAATCTTGTTCCCTCCAGAACGGATCATATGGGAGCGTAACCGGGCGTCTTTTTGTTGTGGATGCTCACAGAGCAAGAGCGGCTGAGGTGGAGATGGCGCGATAACCTCGGCGACAACACCGCTGGCGTCGCCCAGGACTTGCTTTCCTTCTTGCAAACACACGTCCAGGCTGCCGCAGGGAGCACACCAACGACAGCAGCCCCGGCTTGTGAGAGAGCCAGTGGGGACCAGCAAGATGTTGACTTGTACTCGGTGGAGGTACACGACCCTGCGAGAGGAGGTGAGCCTTATGCTGTAACATCGCTTTGAATTGAGCGTGCTGGCTGAGGTAGGACCCAGCATGACTCTCTTTGATCGGCCTCGATTGCAACCAACGTCAGTTTTCTGTATCCGCGAGGGATTGGGTCGAAAACCCCAACGGACCATTTCAAGTGAACGCGCGTGCCTTCCTTCTTCACCAACATCACCTCACAAATGACGTTCCTGGACGTGATCAAAAAACATTTTCTTGTTTCAACACCAGGGTGGACATCGCTGTCAGTTTCAACGCCATCTGAAACCATTCCCAGAAACTGCAGGGTTCGCGTAAACGTCTTCGCAAAGCCCCAAGCGACCGCAACTCGCTGCCGACGAACAGCGACTAAAGACCCTTCTTCCAGCGACGGCAACAGCAGCAAGAACCTATCGGCTTCGCTCGCTTCCGGGCAAGCGAGGAGAAATCCACCCTTTGATGGCACCGCTGTAACAGGAGCGTCCACCACAGTTGACGGGATCCCGCTGCCGGAAGATGAGTCAAGCCTCGACTCCGTTGCACCTGGGGAAATGTTGGCACTTCCATGGAGGCGATTTGATAAAGACTTGCGGGGCGAGGGTGAAGAGGGGTTGCAGATCTGCGGGCGCCGAGTGGCGATCAGGGACGTATCCAACTCGAGCGAGGGCACTGGGCTGTTCACTTGGGTGAGGAAGGGGGGTTATGGTTATCGAGGCCGTTATTTTTTTCGGGCAAGATTTTTCTATAGGTGACGAAGTGCCTTGCGACTGGAGGCATGTACCCAACGGGCGGCACACGTAGCAGAAAGTTCGTGGTAGTTTCGATCGTTGTTTGTTTTGGAGGCAACTCCAACGAATCCAAACCGGACATTCTGATATCTTAGCCACCAAGCATGTTTTCAAGTTTTTTCTGCTCATGTTAGACACGGCGTTTCCCCGTGAAGGATGAAGCGATGTGTAAAGCCCGAATAAACTAACCCCGTACCCACCCGTGCGTGGTGTCCTCTGTATGCCTATCGTCTCATGTCAGGATGGCGCGGTGCTGCTGGCCAAGTACCTTGAACACCGAGCGGTGGCCATGCGGCGCGACTTCCGCGAACAACAGCCCTGCCTTTCAACCCAACCGTCTTGCCTTCATCCCGAGGGTGCCGGAGACGGAAGCAGCGTCACAGTCGTCGATTCTGCCGACGTCAACATCAACAACGGTAGCTGCAGCGGCTGCAGGAGCACCAACAGCAACATCAGCTGCAGCAGCTGCAGCAGCAGCAGCAACAGCGCGAGGACGGCACCTATTCGCGTCTTAGAGCTCGGCAGTGGCACCGGTCTTGCGGGCCTTGCCGCGGCGTTTGCGTTTGGGAGACGGCACAGCGGTACAACCGGAGACGACAACGGCGAAGTCAACCCCCCCCCCCCCCCCCCCCCCCCCCCCCCCCCCCCCCCCCCCCCCCCCCCCCCCCCCCCCCCCCCCCCCCCCCCCCCCCCCCCCCCCCCCCCCCCNCCCCCCCCCCCCCCCTTCCCCCTGTCGCCGGGGTAACCCTTTGGAAGGGGAAAACGACGAGGGCGTTGCCCAATGTGCATCGCCCCCTCCACAAGTTGCCGTTGTCCTGACGGACCTCGAGTACGCCCTGACCAATGCGCGTGCGAACATCTCCCTGAACTCGTCGTCACTTGAGGCCGTCGGCGCGGAGGTCAGCTCGATGGAGCTCGACTGGTGTCGTCCGCTGCCAAGGGAGCTGAGCGGTGAAGCTTGAATCCTTGTTTGTTTAGTTTTTGGTCCCGGCGGTAGGCCGATGGAGAGTGAGTGACCACCGGTTCTTGACCTTCGTTGAGCCCTTTGAGATCAGGCTAATGCCGTTCCAGAAATGAGGCCCAGCGTAGCTGCGGAGGCGCTGCACACCCGGTGCGAGACAGCGGTTAACCCTCTCAGTATATCGCTCGAACAACAACAACCACCACCACCACATGAAAACCACATCAAAGATTTTTTGGACGATTTTGTTGCCAACGTTAAGCGCGTGAGGTAGTGAAACAACATTCAAACGTGATGGATGGAGCTCATCTCCTGCATTTGCCACCGTTTGCAAAAAATCGCCACCCCCCCGCTGCCACCCACCAAAAAGACAAGGAGGCGTTCGACCTCATCCTGGCGGCCGACGTGGTCTGGCTTGACGACCTCGTCACCCCTCTCGTTCGCACCCTTGAGCGCCTTACGGCGGGGTGGCCTAGCGGTGGCGTCGACGCATCGCCGGCGCCGCTTTCACCGGCCGCGGCAAACGGAACCCAAGAAGAGCAGCGGAATGAGACTGGCTTGGCGGCCAGGTTCGGGAGCGGTGCCGTTCCTCAGAAGTGCGAAGGCGGCGGTCGTGCTGCGAGGTCGGTCGGGCGGTCAAGACCATCGGCCGGGCGGCGAGTGTTGTTGGCGTACCAGTGGAGGAGCGAGAGGACAGGGAGGGCGCTGCTGGAGGAGCTAGGTGCATGTTTCCGTGTCCGGGAGATACCACCGGAGGTCAGATTGTGCCGTGTGTTTGTCTCGATATCTGTCGTTCTCCCGCTGTACGTCTGTCCATCTGTCTATTCTGTGTGCCTGTCTGTCTGCCCCCCTCCACCCTCCCTCCCTTCTCTCTTTGCACCGTTGCTGCTGTGAGATATTCTGGGGATTGCTCGGCAGACCATGACGATACCCATCCTTGCTCAGAGGGCTTTCAAGGTCGCTCCGGACCGCTGCCTCTCACCGCACCATAGTAACCCCCTCCCCGCTTCGACGAGATGTGGTAACTCCCGTGTTGTCGCTGTGGCTCATTATTCCTTCGCGCGCTTGTTGTCGTCATCTCAGGAGTGCCACCCGGATTATTTGCCATCAACCAACCTGTGTTTGCTGGAGGCCGTGAGGCGCCAAGAGTAGCGATCGTAGCGCGCGTCGAGGGGCCGATACACGGGGAGGTCCCACTACGGCGAGGACGAAGGCGTACGTCTGAGTGCTGTGAGCTTTACCAGCGCGCGGGGCTTTGGCGAACGACCTTGTGCATACGCGCGCGCTTGCTGTCCTCCCTATAGCAGTCGCTTGGTGCGATATCAGGTTGAATGAGCGTTGTTGGAGGTTGGTGAATGAATGCTGATCGTAGTCAACGGAACGGCTGCCCCCCTGGCGCCGGTTTTGGCTCCAAAAACCTTTTTGGCCCCCAAGAATGGAATGTGGGCATTTTTTTTTCAGCCTTCCCTACTGCCAGGTAGGCTTGTCCCGGACTTGCCCAACCTTTCGCGTAACGTAGAAGCCCGCCATTTCTCGGTTGATTCGAGCCGGACTCCCTTTTGGTGTGGGTGGTGTGGGCGTCTCTGGCTACAGCTCCAAGCGACTTGCACCCCTTCCAAGAAGGAGAAACCGTCAGAAAGTCCACGGGCACCCGTGACGGGTTCCTACACCCTCGATAGCTACATGAGCGCACAGCAGCAGAAGGGCATCGTTTAGCAATCCGTGAAAAGAAAGACTCCCGCCGAACCAAGACGCCTGGCCCACAAGCAACAATCCCCGTAGGGGGGGGGGG